AGAAAGCCGAGCGCAGAAGAATTGATGGTTTTGAACTGTGGTGTTGGAGAAGACTCTTAAGAGTCCCTTGGACTGCAAGGAGATCCAACTAGTCCATCCTAAAGCAGATCATTCCTGGGTGTTCATTGGAAGGACTGATGCTGAAGCTGAAACCGCAGTACTTCGGCCACCTCCTGCGAAGAGTTGACTCTTTGGAAAAGACTCTGATGCTGGGAGGGATTGGGGGCGGGAGGAGAACGGGACGACAGAAGATGAGATGGCTGGATGGCATCACCGACTTGATGGACATGAGTTTGAGTAAACTCCAGGAGTTGGTGATGGACAGGAAGGCCTGGCGTGCTGCGATTCATGGGGTCGCAAAGAGTTGGACAAGACTGAGTGACTGAACTGAACTGATATTCATTTGTTGATTATGATGATGATGTCTTGATATTTCTGACTTTCCTTTAAATCCTATCTAAATTTCATTTCCTCTTTACATGCATCATTATCATCATCAGTTAACTTTTATTATTTGCTGGGACTATTCAAAATATAGCAACTCACTTAAGAATGTGGTGATAAAGAATGTTGCTTCAAATCCCTATTGACTGGGTTGAAATTCCACTCATAGTTTCAGTAAGTGAGCTGTCTATATTTTCACTTTCCTTTGATATGGAAAATGATGATAACAATAGTATCTACTTGGTAAAGGTTTAGTGCTGAAGAGATTAGTTAATATGTACAACTTTGGTCACCTTATTTCTGAGTCCCAATTAATTTGGTAGAAAACATCAGGCAAATATTTAGCTCTGTGGAAAACATACTATTTAAGATTGAATATTTTATGCTAGTTTTATACCACTTTGGTTGATGAATAGATATTTCTTTTATTTTCTATTTTAGTCGGTGTTCTCATAACTTTCATTCCTTTTTAGATCTAATCATAGGAACTACACAGAGAAAAATTATGATCTCTCTTTCACAAATACTTAAAATCTGGTCTCCTGTTAATATTTTTCTGAGTGAATATCCTCAATCTTTTAAAAGCACTTTGTATGAGGAAGTTTCAGAAGTCATGCTGCCCTGGCCTTCAGAATGTTTCTGTGGATAACTATAGATTGTCTGGGGTCCTCAAAGTAGCTTCAGATATGGTGTGATCATATACAGTGGTAGGAACATCAACTCACTGCATCATATGTTGAGCTTCCATTCAGTTAAAATCTCTGTCTCTTTACACAAACTGCTCTCAGCTAAGTATCATCCATCTTCTGTGTGTACAGTCTGTTTGGATCCTTAATGAGGGATTTGTATTTCTCTGCTGGTAAAGAATCTGCCTGCAATACAGGAGACCCTGGTTCGATTCCTGAGTTGGAAAACTCCCCTAGAGAAGGGCTAGATTACCCACTCCAGTATTCTTGGGTTTCCCTGGTGGCTCAGATGGTAAAGAATCTGCCCGCAATGGAAGAGGCCTCAGTGTGATACCTGGGTTGGGAAGATTTTAAATTTTAAAATAACTATTAATAGAAAAATAACTTTTAATAGAAATGTATCTTTAATTTTAAATTGAAATTAAAATTACTTTTTAATTTAAAAAGTAAAATTTAATAGAAAGATAGGCAAGTAAAAATTATGAGGAAGCAACTACATGGCAAGTGACAGAGAACAACTTTTGAAAGAAGAGCAGTGCAATCCTTTGGGGAAGTTGATATTTAAGATTTTTAAAATGAGGTAAATTTAGCCATGTGTAGACAAGAATGTGTCAACTAATTTTTGTTATGTAACAAAGCAAATTTAGTTGTTTAAAACAACAACCTATATTCACTCACAATTTTCTGAGTTGGCAGTTGGGGCTGGGCTCAGCTATAATGGTTTGTCTCTGATGCACATGATATCATCTGGGCTCACCAGTACATTTGCAATTAGGTGACAATTATTGGCTGTGCCCACACATGTCCGGCGGTTGGCTTGTTGTCAGCAGTCACAATGGAGGCAGCTGGACCATATGTCACTTACTATTCAGCAGGCCAGCCTAGGCTTGTTCACATCTTGGGACTTGTGAGTTCCCAAGATCAGCAGGAGAGGACTATTCCAGTGCACAAGCCTTTTTAAGCCTTTATTTACATCACATTTGCTTACATTCCATTGACCAAAGCAAGTCACATGGCAGAGCCCAAATTCAGAGTGTAGAAACCAATCTCTGCATCTCAATGAAATGCATATAGGTGTATATGGAAAGATAGGAGAATTTTATCTTATTTTGTAATTATCCACATGGAGTAACCACTTTTTAAGCGAAAGAAAGCATCATGTCTTAAGGCCTTAGTGTAAGAAAATGTTCAGTGTGTTTGTTGAGCTAGAAGTTCAGTGAATTGGAATGTAGTTCCATACGGAGGATAAAAATGAAGGCTGGAACTGGATCCTGCAGAGTTCTATAGAGCATTGTAAGGAGTCTCATCTTATTCCAAATGTAAGAAGGCAGCATCAAGTAGGTGGCAAAAAAGAGGGCCTGGTCTACTTAGGAAATGCTGCTGAAAGAGTAATGAAGGTAAGTTAGGAAAGCATCCTATGTTTGGCAGAAAGGACTTTAGGATGAAAGAACTTCCTTTACCAGATATTGAAGCTTATTATAAGGCCACAGTAAGTGAAAGTCGCTCAGTTGTGTCCGATTCTTTGTGACCCCATGGACTATACAAATGATGGGATTCTCCAGGCCAGAATACAGGAGTGGGTAGCCATTCCCTTCTTCAGGGGATCTTCCCAACCCAGGGATCGAACACAGGTCTCCCACATTGCAGACAGATTCTTTACCAGCTGAGCAACAAGGTATGATTATGGCATAGGAATAAATAACGTAATGGAACAAAATAGAAGTCAACATATTTGGCCTCTTAATAACAATGCGGCACATTAGAACAGTGGAGGGAGAGTAAGGTCATTGAAATAAATGGGCTATACCAATTAATAAGTACATAAAAATTAAAATGAAATTTACCCATAATATATACCATACTGAAAATCAATTTTAGGTAGATGATTAAATATTATTAAATGCAAAATAATACTCTGTTAATGACCCTGGGAAAAGGTAAGTGTTCTTAGATAAGACACATAAATTACTAACCATGAAGGAAAAATGTTCTTAAAAATTAAGAACTTTATGTCATCAAAAGACACCATGAGAAGTGTGAAAAGGCAAACCAGAAGAAAGGAAAAAATATTTGCAACACATCTAACCAATAACAACAAGTAACCAGATCAAGTAAAAATGCTTACAAGTTTATAAGAAAAATCAGAAAGCCAATTTAAAAAATGAGCTAACAACTTGAATATGTCCTTCATAAAGAGAGAAATTACCTGCAGGTGGCAGAGGGGGCTGCCCGAGAGGAAGTGGGACCATCTGGGTAAATCAAGTAACAGTTTATCCAGTTGAGAGGCTTTTCTCTATTTTCAAGGCTCTGTTTGCCTCTTTTCTGTAACTTTTACATTTCATGGAACCTAAAAATATTTAGAAAGCCCAAAGGGTACTCAAATACTAATCGTTGATCTGCATTTTTCACTTTCATCAAAGTGAGGAGAAAAGCATCTACACCATTTGCCTCAGTGGACTGAGGCCAGGCCTTGTTTAAGGAGTATTTCCCAAGGCTCTGACAAAAACTACTGGGCCTGTGAGAAAGGTAGGAGGGAAGGATGGCTGTGGATAACATTTACTGAATATTTGTTGTATGCCAGGCTGTGCTGTGCTCAATGCTTTATGTGGATTACCTCATTTAATTCTCACATAGCACCTTCACAGATGAGGACATTGTGATGTTAAGTAGCAGGAATTGTGCCACCAGACTCTGTGCTGCTACCTGAGTGCTGCTTTCCTATCTACCTGTTAATAGCCTCTTTCTTAACTATTCTAGTTGGGAGAGAGGAGCAGGCTAGTATTTTCCAGCTGCAAGGCTGATCCCAAAATTACTACAAGTTTCTTTGCGATATCTTTTTCCTGACATACCTTGGGCTTTGGCCTGTTATTGTCTCTGAGGTCCAGGAATGTGCAAAATGTGGAATAAAGAATGCTGCCTGTATAGTGTGAAGCTGAAGTTTGACTTCCTCTTGCCGTCACGTCTCAGTTCAGTTCAGTCACTCGGTCGTGTTCAGCTCTTTGCAACCCCATGGACTGCAGCATGCCAGGCTTCCCTGTCCATCACCACTCCCAGAGCTTGCTCAAACTCATGTCCATCGAGTTGGTGATGCCATCCAACCATCTCATCCTCTGTAGTCCCATTCTCCTCCTGCCTTCAATCTTTCCCAGCATCAGAGTCTTTTCAAATGAATAAGTTCTTCACATCAGGGGACCAAAGTATTGGAATTTCAGCTTCAGACAAAGGAGAAAAGGAAAGATATACCCATTTGAATGCAGAGTTCCAAAGAATAGCAGAGAGAGATAAGAAAGCCTTCCTCAGTGATCAATGCAAAGAAATAGAAGAAAACAATAGAATAGGAAAGACTACAGATCTCTTCAAGAAAATTAGAGATACCAAAGGAACATTTCATGCAAAGATGGGCACAGTAAATGACAGAAATGGTATGGACCTAACAGAAGTCCTCAGGGCTATTCATGTGCAAATGCCCATATAAGGGTGGTAATCTTGTGACAGTAGCTTGTTTGCTGTGGTGGGAGTGGGATAGATGGGGAATCTGTCATCCTGGGACCTAACACTTACTTAACTAGTTCTGGTTAAATGGAGATAAAGATTTACTTAGTATTTTCAGGTACTATACTTTAACATTTACATTATATAAAAATGCTAAAATGAATAATTAAGACTTCTGTGTTTTTCATGTATGTTTCCAGTTTCTTCTCACTTTGCAAGGTAGCATTTCTGTCACTGATTATTCACAAAAACAGATATGCCTGCTTCTCATAAATATTTTCATTCACTTTAACAAAATATGAAATCAGTTTCTCAATTTCTCGAGGAAACCAATCTCATACTGAACTAAGAGAAATTGCTTTTGCTTATATTTTGCAGACTTTGGATAATGAGATGAGTACAGATGATGACAATGAATATGCAGAAGAAAAGGAGAGCTACATCTGTGCAGTGTGTCTGGATGTTTACTTCAACCCCTACATGTGTTACCCTTGCCACCACATCTTCTGTGAGCCCTGCTTGCGGACCCTTGCCAAAGACAACCCTGCAAGTACTCCCTGCCCGTTGTGTCGGACAGTTATTTCCAGAGTCTTTTTTCAGACAGGTAATTGTTGTCTTTCAGTAACATGATTGCCTAATTATTTTGACTACCTCTTTGTTCCAGTTCTAAAGGTACTTTATGAATTATTATGAGAAAGTTACTAAAAATCATATATAGCATACTTCGTTACTCTCCAGTTTATAGAAGAGTGCTTGCCAACTCGTTAGAACTTTTAAAATCATAGAATCAGTGATGAAACCAGTTTCTCATCTCTACTCCTCTATTTAATGCTGAGATCTTTTCTAAAGCATCCTAACTAGTTTTTCAGTCTTTACTTGGACATCTCCAGTGTCAAGGACATTCCATTAAAATTTGGAGAAGCCCTATTAATTATTTATTTCTGAAGTCTAACTTTTATTTCTTCTCATCCTTCGACCTTTGTTTTTTACTCTGGAGTCTCAAAGAATAAATCTATAAATATCTGAGGATAACTACTATGTCTTTCCCTCAAACTCCAAATCTTCTAAACCTTCTTGTTGTTTTTAAGGTCTTTATTCTTGAATACAGTAAAATTGGAACAAGGATTTGTTTACATAATTACCATGTAAAGATGGGATATAATACAATATTTTGATACAAATAGAAACAGGGAAAACTAATGAATGTGAAACATGGATACCTGCTAAGGAGAAAGGGAAAAATGATAGAAGTAAGCAGAGCTGTTGGACTGTAAAGAAAGCTGAGCACCAAAGAATTGATGCTTTTGAACTGTGGTGTTGGAGGAGACTTTTTTTTTTTTCATTTATTTTTATTAGTTGGAGGATAATTACTTTACAGTATTGTAGTGGTTTTTGCCATACATTGACATGAATCAGCCATGGATTTACATGTGTTCCCCATCCTGAACTTCCCTCCCACCTCCCTCCCCATCCCTGAGGAGAAGGGGATGACAGAGGATGAGGTGGTTGGATGACATCACCGACTCAATGGACATGAGTTTGGGCAAACTCCGGGAGTTGGTGGTGGACAAGGAGGCCTGGTGTGCTGCAGTCCATGGGGTTGCAAGGAGTCGGACATGACTGAACGACTGAACTGAACTGAAAGCAGAGCTGATATTTATTGAGTGCACTACTGTGTGCTAAACCTTTGAGAAGGAAATTTCTGTATCCACATTCTCACCTGAACCATAGGCCAAATAAGATTAAAGTATGTACTTTATTAATAGTAAAACTGAAGAAAACACATAGCACATTTTTCTTCCCCAAAAGAAAATCCAAGGACCCATCTGCAAAGAAGAATCAGTTTATAAAAATAAGTTTTGTATACCCAACCAACTGCATGAATGCTTGCAAACCTGCCTTACCAGCTCAGTAACCAAACAATGAGATACCACTTCACACTCACTAGGATGGCTATAGTTAAGAAGATAGATAATAATAAGTGTTGACAAGGATATGGAAAAATTGAAACTCATATATTACTGATAGGAGTATAAAATGGTAAAGTCAGTTTGGAACATAGCAGAATCAGCTTTGCACATAGAAGATTCTAAGCCCGCTTATGAGATGGGGAAAAAATGTGTGTGTCCCAAATTAACTAAGATTTCTTCTGTCTATGAAAATGGAAAAAACTCCAGGATGGGCAGGGCTAAGGAAGAAGACCTTTGGCTAGGGGGAACCTTTCCATTTCTTGACTGACAGCCTCATTCTTCCAGACAAGGAACTCCCATATCAGTACCCCAACAGCAGATCTGTTCAGGGATGTCAAACATGCTGCATGACAGGATCTGCCAGCCACCTTCATCAGGAGGTCAAGGAAGGGGAAAGGCTATGGCTTACAAATGTTAAATGGAGTGGGGGTCATCCAAGAGAGTGGGGAAGAATCCCTTAGCCAGTGAGATCATGGTTTTGTTTTCAGGGAAGGCATCATATTTTCTTGAATCGATTGTACGACTAAAGCCTTCAAACCAAGCATGGCATTGCCCCTACTGCAGACTGACTCTGGGGGACCCCTGTATGAGCCCTACTATAGACTTCGGGAATCCCAGCCCATGGTCATATGGAAGATGTAGATGTCTCACGTATTACATAGAGAGCCACAGGGTCAGTGCAACTGAACTCTCAACTGTGAAGTCACTTGCTGCTCTCACCCCATTCAGATTCTCCCGAACCTCAACGAGGAGAACTTCTCCCCTCCTTCCATTGTTTTCCTCCACTCAACCCCTGTATCCTTTTAGACCGCTGACCCCATGCCCCTGCTCTTCTGCCTCTACATGGTGAAGCTAGGTGCTAATAAGCAGTAGTGCTGGTGAGCTCCGTTGGAAATGGGAAAATAAAATGGCTGAGTCTTCACCTTGTGTAAGAAAAGAAAGAAGGTGAAAGTGAAGTCGGTCAGTCGTGTCTGACCCTTTGCAACCCCATGGACTGTAGCTTACCAGGCTTCTCCATCCATGGTATTTTCCAGGCAAGAGTACTGGAGTGGGTTGCCATTTCCTTCTCCAGGGGATCTTCCCAACCCAGAGATCAAATCCAGGTCTCCTGCAATGCAGGCAGACACTTTACCCTCTGAGCCACCAGGGAAGAAGTCCCTAACTAAGTAAATGAAATTTAATCTAGAATTTTAAGTATGAAGCAGGCTTATGATTTTTTTCACCAGGAATATTTTGGCTGCCACAGTAATAGGAGGATGCTACTGGTATCTAGTCAACAGGGCAGGGATAACAGGTACCCTGCAGTGTTTGGGCCAGTCCCACACAGCAAAAAATTATACTGGGTTCAGTCTGAATTTTAGATGTCCTGCTGGGCTTTATTCAGGACATACAGCTCATCCAGAAGATCACAATTCCTCTTCTTATCTGCCGTAATAGCCTGTAATTGGTCTTGGTCTGTTGTCTCTGTTCCCATTAAGGGTATTTTATACTTTCTCTTATTCTATACCAAACAGTCTGAACTGTTAATTCATATGCTAATAGTGATTTTATTCTTGCATTTACCCATTCCTCAACTTTTCCATTTTTACGTTCATCTTGTACAATATAGTCATTGCCTCTGAAATCAAAACTCATTCTTTTTTTAATTGAAGTATAAAAAAAAATTTACAATGTTGTGCCGATCTCTGCTGTATAGCAAAGTGACTCAGTTATACACATACAGACGATCTTTATTTTTATGTTCTTTTCCGTTATGGTTTATCACAGGAGATTGAATAGAGTTCCTTGTGCTGTACAGTAGGACCTTGTTGTCTATCCATCCTATAAAATATAATAGTTTATATCTGCTAATCCTAAACTCCCAGTCCTCCCCTCCCACACTCCACTCCCCCTTGGCAACTTCAAGTCTGTTCTCTATGTTTGTGAGTCTGTTTCTGTTTGCAAATAGGTTTATTTGTACCATATTTTAGATTACACATGTAAATGGTATTATATGGTATCTGTCTTTCTCTTTCTGACTTCACTTAGTATGATAATCTCTAGTTGTATCCATGTTGCTGCAAATGGCATTATTTCATTCTTTTTTATGGCTGAATAATAATATTCCATTGTCTATGTATACAAATTCATTCTTTATTAGTAGGCATATCTGTTTCCTAATGCCTTTTAGTGTAGTCACTCCCAAGCTTTAATATATGGAAATAAGTAGTTTATTATAAAAAAGAAATAGAAGATTAAGCAGAATGATTAGAGCATTGTTTCTCAGGTTTCTGTCATTTTCCTACCACCTTTTCAATTTTCACTATATCCACATACCACCTGAATTATTTTTTTACTTAAGGGTTTTCCTCATATCAACATAGTTTTAAAATATACTTATTTCAGCCTCATCTTTAACAACATATTTGTGAATGTGTGTATTTGATGTTCTAGTTTATTATATACATTAAAATATAACTATGAAAAATTTTATTCAATTTCACCCTAAATCCTTTAACATATGGCTAGTGCTTTGCAAACCAAATCTTGAAAAACACTGCCTTGCAATTATGGAGGTTAACACCAGGAAAAAAAAAAAAAAAACACAGCAAACAGGAATATTTAAAACAGTCCCTGGGAGTTGTGAGTGGAGCTGGAGATAGAAGGAGTGAAACAGATCTTCACTGGTGTTTTGCTTTTGGTTTTTTTTTTAATGCTCTTTTACATCATTGGATTTCTTAAACCATGGGAATATGTTAATTTGACAGTTTTTAAAAATTAATAAGTAAACCAATATATACATCATCAAATATGATGGTGGCAGGGACGATGAAGTCCTGTTTCTTTTCATACAGAAGACAGGCAATCATGAATTCTTTGAAACTGAGGATGTATGCTATGATAACCTTTTGAGGATCCACTAGTATATCTCTATCCATAGGCTTTCAAAAGACTTTTTCTAAATATTGAAGTGTAGCTTTAAATGCAAATAATAATAGTATGCATCACAACAATAAAAAGTACTTAACACTTTGTCTTTATCATACTGTGTGTATGCTTATGTGCTTAGTCGCTCAGTTGTGTCAAGCTCTTTGCGACCCATGGACTGTAGCCCTGATCACTGAGGAAGGCTTTCTTATCTCTCCTTGCTATTCTTTGGAACTCTGCATTCAAATGGGAATATCTTTCCTTTTCTCCTTTGCTTTTTGCTTCTCTTCATTTCACAGCTATTTGTAAG